ACTTCAAATTTAAATTTTTTCAGTTCTTCTATACATCATTTAATAGAGCTTGTTGAGCTGAGCTGAACTATGTAACATTATGTGTGAAAAAAAAGCGAAAACTACATAGTCTAGTTATAAAGAAAAGAAAAAGACGCCAATCCGTGTTTTTTTTTCTTTTTTTTAACAACTAGGGTGGGTACTGTATAATAAATTGCTGAACTCCTACACAACAATCTTACTCATTCGTGAATTTCTGTTCGCTAGAGTTTGCTCAAAAAAACTCAATCACAATTTTCTTCGGGACCTTCTCATCAGCAACATATTCGATGGAGCAATGGCAAAGTGTAGCACTTAGCTGGAGCATCAAAGCCTACATACTAATTTTACTTTTTTCAGAAGTGCAAATATATTGTGGTCTTCAAAAGTATAGTTTTGTTTAGTATTTGCTTGTCAGAGGCAACGATCACGGCAAACTCGACCCGACACTTTGAGATACTCACCAATGAAAGTGACGTAACTCTAAGGTGAAGCGACTTACACTGTTTAATGGAAGCATAAGTTCCTCTTTGATGAAGCTGGGCAAAAATGCTTGTAGTAAAGAGGCCTGAAGATTGTAGGTGTATTGGCAAAGTACAGCAGCAATCAGCGGTAAAGAAGTGAGCATTGCTCTCCACGGTACCGGACCGATGGTCTGAATAAAAAAATTACTACACTTTTTCAGCGGTTTAAAAGCAAACATAATATACTCGGAAGCGGAAACACCCAGAAGTGGGTACTGTGCTGCACAAATTCCCGTAGGCACTTAGGTGGTTCGTTACAAAATGAATAAGTTATCTCAGTGAATATTCCATTAAGCTAGATTCAGAATATAGCTTAAAATTTGATAAGGTCTTTTAAAGTCGCTGTTTTCTTCTACCTGCCTGAGCGCTCGCGTACAATTCCAATGTAAACAGTAGTAGAGTTTAAATGAGTATATGGCCAGAATAGTGGGGGGAGGGGTAATCCGCTAGACAACTCTATCCTCCCAGACGATTTCTGCCAAAAATTATGTGTCGAGCCTGGTGAAATGAATAGTCTGGTTTGCCTGAGCGAAAATGGGTTTAGGCATTAGTCCCCTGACCATTAGAGGTACGTAGTGCTTCGGCATTACTCCGTCTCTCGGGCCTAAATCGCATCGACCGTATGAGAGAGCAATTTCGTCAATCAAAATGCTTTTTTGCATCGCCAAACTGTGCAAATAAGAAATAAAAAAGATCGGTGAAAATGTAGTTGGGGGGGGG